CAAACGCCATAATTTGTACATTTTTTAAATTTAATTGAATGAAAGCAAAAAATGACTGAAATAGCATCAAATTTCAGAATAAGTATAGATTTGTTCGAATTGGTCACCTTTGGCAAGAATTATGGCCTTCAAACGGCCAATGAAACCGTCACACGCTGCCCGAATGTTGCTCTTCGGTATTTTAGCCCATTCCTGGCGAAGCGCTTGCTAGAGGTGATCGACACAATACTAGCGGAGAGGGACCATCGGCTGTTATGGCGACCCACGCCATCACCATGGCCGGCGCTTGAGTTCTGGTGGCCAACCGAAGGTGCACATTTTTAGCTGACCTCTTTGGCAAGTAAACACGACCATTTTGTTTGTTTACAAACTGCTGGAAAACGAATGTTTTCTCATTGAAGCGGAGAAAACCAAATTCGGCAGTTCACCACTTTCGGCCGAGCGAAGCAACTCTTTAGCTCTTGAGTCTATTTTCTTCCTGTTGCGGTGTAAGTTCTTACATTTTTTGGAATTTCTATGGCTTTACACCGAGCTAATTTTTCAATATTAGCCGAATGGAATATTGCGATATGTTCAGCTCACGAACCATTTTTCGGCCACTGGGACGCGAGTTTCGATCAAGTCGTTTCTTTACTTTTCGAACCATTTCTGCTGATGTTGCTGTTTTCGTCCGTCCACGCCCACTTCCTTGACGTCGGGCTACGCTATCAGTACCAAGATTTATTCACATTTAAATGCTGGAGTGCTCTAACGATAGCCACTTGTGGTTTTCCAGCTAAATGTAAAGAGATCACACTGTCACGCTTGAATTCCATCACGAATAACTTTTTTCTGAAAACTCACCAAAATGCTTTTGTACCGTATTTATATAATGATAATTTATGAATATTTTATTTATTTTGTTTTGTAAATAAATACTAAAAAAATAGAAAATTATTGTGAATTACCATGATAATCGTTCTCTTGCATTTTGCTCAATTTTTTAAAATTCTTACGTTCATAGAAATTTAAATACTTTCATTATTATTTTTTTTTTTTTTAAATCCAAGTTCAAATTTTCGGAAAATTACGATAGATATACAAATTAAATATTTCCGACTCAGCGTGGAAGTCGTTTTCTTCATACGAATTTATAAAATTTGTTTCGTATTACCTTCCATATTTTGTACAAATGTACAAATAAGTTTTCCAAAGTCACTCGTGAAATTCCTCCGCCGTAATGCAATTTCCCACATTCGAAATATCCCATTGCCGTTTGAAATTTCGGGATTATTTTTTCCGTTTAATTGTTTTGGATTTTCAATAAGAATTTCAAAATATTGATATTGGTATTTTCTTTACCTGAAACTTGGTTAAGTCGTTTAAGGAAAATATTCTTAACTTCCTCTAGGTATATCCAGACAATTTATTTCCTGTTTTGCCGGTCGCGCCCCTAATCGTGTCATGGAATTTCTTCGATGTTAAAACCCAAATCAAAGATGAAGACATTTTCCAACACATTTAAAAACTCCCTATTGGCAAATCTACGGCGCCTCGTTATGACTTTCACATAAATTGGAAACACCATTTTGTGAATGAATGTTTTAAGTTTGAATTCTGTTTGCATTTCTGTACTTCCAATGCATGAGCAGAGTCATTATTTATTTGGCTGATATTGGGTGTTTACCGGCATGTGGGAAAATATGACCTAATCTAAAGGAAACTTAAAAAAAAATACAAATAATATAATACAACTGCAATAATTTAAAAATGATTACTACGATAACCGATTTTCCCTTTACGATATGATAACGAAAAATAAATTACAGAAATGGTAGATTACTGCCGATTTTGGAACAGAGCATAATTGTATGTATTTAATTGTCTATCATTTTATAAATGTTTTCGTGCAAATATGTGGTTAAAAATCTGTCATAATTTTATATTCTATTTTTTTTTTTGGTAATTCATGTAAGGCGTTATGGAACTCATGGGATAAATCTACTCTAATTTGAAATTCCATTGGCAAATATTTTGTGGTTGTCGGTTTTAAGCGCCAAAGAAATTCCTAGTTGCTAATTAGGGCGGGACATGTCAATAAGTTTACAAGTTTAAAACACAAGCGACTAAAAATTTACCTGGTTTTACCAAGTTTCAGAGAATATTTCCTTACAATGGATAGGAAAAATATCAGAACATAGGATAGGATAAAATCAGAACATTGACATGGCAACATTCAACGTAAATCCTATTTAATTTTAAGGAAAATAGCACTCCATCCACAGTGGGTATATCTGACAATTTTTCCAAAGAATATCTGAGCTATAATTGTAGAAATTTTAAAGATTTTTTTGGAATGTCAGATGTCTGGAATTTTAAGAAATGCGGTTTAAACGACCATCGCTGCCATTATAATGCGTGTTTTTTAAGAATATTTTATGGGACCATCCATGTCATAATTGTGATATTTTTAGGGAGTATCGGAGTCTTAATTGATTTTCCAACTATTTTTTGAGAGACCTATTTGAGCTACAATCCTGGATATTTTTGGGAATAATTCTTGAGATCCTTTGAGTGGCCATCTGAACTAGAACCGCACATTTTTGGGAATATATGTTGAGAAACCATCAAAAGTATAATATTTTTTCAAGGACTATCAGAGTCATTACCTAGGACTTTTTAGAATAATTTTTTAAGGTCCATAAAAGCCGCATTTTTTTTTTTGTAAATACCTTTTAAGGACTATCTCAGGCCTTGTCGTGGATCCATTCTTATTTTTTTATCTAATCTAAAGTGTAATTTTATGATTATTGAAGCATGTTATTCCAAGGGCTATCTAAGCTACAAACGTGAACGTTTTGAAATATTTGAATAAAAAAAGTTTGAGGATTATTTAAGACATAATAATGGATTTCTAGGAATATTATTAAAGGACTATAATAGCTCAAAATACTGGATTTTTAATACTCTTTTTTAGGGACTTTTTGAACCTATATTGTGGATTCGTTAAGAACCTTTTCCAAAAAAATATCTGAGCTGTGGCAGCCGATTTTTAAGAATATATTTTTGAACAGTAACTTCGGTCTATTTTTTTTTCTTTTTGAAGACTTTGTGGGTCATTGTCGTTGAACATTTAAGAATTATTGTTGTTAAGAACAGTCCGAGCTCAAATTTTTGTTTTTTTTTTCATTTTTTTTTCAGGACCTACAGTTATTTTTAGGAATATTTTTAAGACACCTCTGATTCATAAATTTTTACGAACATTTTTGGAGAGGAGCCAAAATTGTTGGTTTTTAGAGACTATAAAGGAATACATTTCAGGAATTATCGGAATCGTTATCGTATATTTTTTGAGATATTTTTTGGGGAAATCAGGTTTTTATTTGTGAGAGACCATAGGACTCATAATCAACGATTTGTGGGAATATTTTAAAGAATATCTCGGAAGAAACCATAATCGAGAATATTTGGGAGCATTTTCAGGATAATCCAGAGCAATTATCCTGGATGTTTGAGAACATATTTTGAACATCAGGTTCTATTGCCGAAACATTTATATATAACAATCACTAAATCTACACTCGATTTTAAAAAATATTTTTTTAAGAGCCATCATAGCCATAATCTTGGATATTTAGATTAGGTATTATTCCTGAATATTTTTCAAGGACTAAGTACACCATAATCCTTGGTTAAGAATGATTTTCTAGTATATCTGGACCACTATCATGGACTTTTGGAGAATATTGTCCTAGGACTGCCCAAACCCTAGTCTTGGATTTTTAAAAATATATATAAGGTCGATCAGAACACAATAGTGGATTTTTTATGATTTTCGATATGATTTTTGAGAATTTCAGCTCTAAACCTTCACTTAATACCAAATTTTGAAATTTGTACGATTTAATACTTTTCGTAAAATTATAGCACACATTTGTAACACCACCACCACATCTCAACACCATGTACCAACAGATACCTTAATATCAAATGTCGGTATTTCAGCTATATACAATGACTCATTACCAATTTTAGAAACATTGAATAGTTTTCGTATAAATTTAGTACTAATTTCCAAAACCGTTCCATATCTAAATCCTAGACACCGAAAGTTATCGCAATATAACATTTCCCGGTTTCAACCCTATCCCTTCACCTAAAACCAAATTGAGTACAATTTAGTACTTTTCGTAAAAATATAGGACACATTTCAAAATCACTGTCAAATCTCAAAAAACCTAAAACCAAATTGAGTACCATTTAGTACTTTTCGTAAAAATAAAAATCACTGTCAAATCTTAAAAAACAGATACCAACATATATAAAATTTGAGGATTCCACCTCTATACTTTTATCCAATACCAAATATAGAACCATTCCGAAACCACCTCTATATGTCCAGGTTACACATGAGCAGCGGCCCTGATACCAAATGTTATTTTTCAAACACTATATGTTCACTCAATACCAAAGTGTACGAAGTGTTGTTCTATTCAGTACTTTTCGTACACTTATAATTCACATTTCCAAAACCATTTTTCTATCACAAACCTACCACCAACTGGGACCCCAATACAAAATTTCAAAATCCCAGCTTTATTCGTTCACCCTAGAACAAACTGTTTAAAATACAGTTCAGATACAGTACAGATTTCAAGAACCACATATATGAACATTACATTCCAACCTTGATTCTCATACCAAATTTCAAGATTTGTTAACATTTTAGAACTTTTCGTAACCTTAAAGTTCGAATTTCGAAAACCCTTTCAGATATCTAGCTAATTCCGTTTTTCCACTACAAAGTAGTCAATTTTAAGTACATTTTAGTATTTTTCGTGCCCTTTTAGTTCGAATTTCCAAAAATCCAGCTATCATACGCCAAGAAGACACCAACACTGACCCTCGTGCAAAAATTTCAAAATTCAATCATTTCGTCTGTGCTCTAATTTTCACACATTCACATTAATTTGGAATATTCAAAATTTATATATTTCTCAAATTCTAACAAATTCAAAAATTCATTGCAATTTATAGCAATTTGGTCCTATGGACACTAACAAACAAAAATATCCTAAAGGATTAACTCAATACAATGAGCTACCTGCGTGATATAAATAGCCGACAATTCTTTAACACAACCAACATTCAACAAAGATTCCTCATCCTATCAACATCACATACAGCAAACCTATGACAATGTTTATTTACATCATTATTCATTTTCTTCTCCTCCTTGAGATCTGTCAAGGATCCCTGTTGCATCAACTGAATTACATGGCTGCCCAAAGCATTTACGCCAAAAAAGTTTACAGCCCACTGCAAGTTCCCTTCTCGCTGGATAATGTGATACCATCAAGCATGGAAATGGCCATGGAAAATTGCCAGCGATCATTCAAATGGGAACGTTGGAATTGCCCCACATCTGATTTTATTTTGAGACGCAGTGCCAAATCAGCAGAATTGGATCGTGAGGGAGCCTATGTGGAAGCCATAGCAACAGCGGCCATAATTTACACCATCACCAAGAACTGTTCCAGTGGCATAACAGCGGGCTGTGGTTCCTGCTCGGATAATCCATATACACCAATTTGTTCGGATAACCCCCGAGAAGCCGAAGAACTCTTGAGGAAATATAGGAATATCAAATTTCCCCACGATTTCAGAGGCAAAATTGAGGCTCACAACTACAAAGCCATTACAAATCTTTTGGGAAAATCTCTCATCAAACAGTGTGCATGTGCCATTATGGGTCCAGGTGGCATATGTGCCAAAGAATTTTGTCGCCAAGTTTTGAAGCCATTTGAAGAGATTTCCGATGACATTCGTCAGATGTACGACGAAGGTATTCTTTTGGAAAACACAATTATCAACTCTCGTATCTTGTGGGACAATATTCCCCTGGATGTCTTGGTCTTTATGCGGGACTCCCCCAACTACTGCGAACTGGATGCTGTGCCACATTGGAATGGCATGGTGGGACGTCAGTGTGCAGCTGGAACGAGCAATGGCGATCTGTCGGATGAGGATCAAGAGAGATGCAATCATCTTTGCCGCGAGTGTGGTTACACGTTGGAAGAGAAGAACGTCCTGACCGAAACTCGCTGTAATTGTAAATTTACGTGGGATTTTCGATTGCAGTGCGACTCTTGCCTTATTGCAGAGAAACATTACTATTGTTATTGAATAAATGGGTGATGTTTTGGGGATTCTTATACTCGCCGGGCGAGATATATAGAAATTCATACGAATATAATTAGAATAATTTATAGATAATACGATTTTCAAATAAAATTTACGAAAATGTTAAATGTTTAAACTTTTTTGTTTTTGAAGATAAATATCGGTTTTAGACCCTAGGTCTGTTCGGAGAAAATCCGTTGGTGGACTTTTGGAGTCGATCTAACCGTGTCGATCTGACCGGCTCGTGAGTAATTAACATTCGAATGTTCAAACTTGGTACATAGTAATATTTTTACCGAACTTAGATCGAGTTCAATGATGGCCTGCTCACTCTGGAACCTCCCAACATAAGGTCAAATTTCGTAATAATAATTCTAGAAAAAAAATGTGAAAATAGTGTGTGTCGAAAATTTTCGAAAAATTCACAAATTTCTTTCAAAATGACTGGCTGATTTAGAATCAACGCCCAGACGAGGGTCAGTCTTGGTGCCTAGGCGTGTGATAAGGCTGGGATTTTGGAAATTCATACTAAATGGGTACGAAAATTTTTAAAATGTACTAAAAATTTAATATTTGGTATTGGACAAAAGAAATGAGCCAGATTTCTGAGATTTAGAATGAGAGTCAATAATGGAGTGCAGGGAAAATATACCAAAGGGGTTTTAAAAAAATCCGAGCTTTAAGGTTACGAAAAGTTCTAAATTGACACTAAACTTCTGAAATGATACAATTTGGCATTTTGTGAACGGATAGAGCTCAAAACTGGAAAATTGGCATGAGAATCAAGGTTGGAAAGTAAATCTGATACATAAACGTGGTTCTAGAAATTTGTACTAAGTGTGCGAACTGTGCTTAATAGTACTAAATCTGCAACAATTTGGTCGAAGGGATGAAAGTGGAGATTTGAAATTTTACAATTTTCCCCAGTAGGTAGGTAGGTTTGTGATAAAGAGCTGGTTTTAGAAATGTGTACAAGTGCACAAAAAGTACTAAGTCTGGTATTGGGTGAAGGGATAGAGCTTCAATCCTGAAACTTAATATACAGGGTGAGATGAAAAAAAAACTGAAACCAAATACTGACTGCAGTCATTTCTGAGGCACTCGTCCGACAGCTGTTGAAATTATGCAAGTGACAGCTCATTACAAGGTGTGATAAAAAAACTGGAACCAACTTCAGACTGCTGTCATTTCTAAGCCACTCGTCCGACAGCTGTTAAAATGATTTCAGTGACAGCTCATTATATTGTTTACAAGCGTACAAAAGCATTTTGGTGAAAATTTTTCAGAAAAAAAGTTATTCGTGATGGAATTCAAGCGTGATTTCTTTATATTTGGCTGGAAAACCAAAAGTGACTATCGTTAGAGCACTCCAGCATTTAAATGTGAATAAATATTTTGTGTCTCAAACCATCGCTCGTTACCGTGATATTGGTAGCGTAGCCCAACGTCAAGGAAGTGGACGGAAGAAAACAGCAACATCCGCTGAAATGGTTCGAAAATTAAAGAAACGACTTGATCGAAACCCGCGTCGCAGTGGCCGAAAAATGGCTCGTGAGCTGAACATATCGCAAAATTCCATTTGGCAAATGTTGAAAAATGAGCTCGAAGTAAAGCCTTTGAAATTTCAAAAAGTGCAAGAACTTACATCGCAACGGAAATAAATTAGACTCAAAAGAGCTAAGGAGTTGCTTCGCTTGGCCGAAAGTGGTGAACTGCCGAATTTTGTCTTCTCCGATGAGAAAACATTCGTTGTCCAGCAGTTTCTAAACAAACAAATTATTCGTGTTTGCTTGCCAAAGAGGTCAGCTTAGAATGTGCACCTTCGGTTGGCCACCAGAACTCAAGCAAAGGCCATGGACGCTCTCCGCTCGTATTAATCGACCGTGGCATCAGAATAATTGCCAAATATCGCGAAAAAATTCTGAAGGGTGTGTTAAAGCCTTGGGCATGCAAACTTTTTGGCTGCAGACCTTGGACATTCCAACAGGACTCAGCACCATCGCAATTAGCACGCTGTACCCAAGAATGGTTACAAAATGAGGTTCCTCGATGGCCACCAAAATCTCCGGATACCAATCCGATGGACTATTGCGTCTAGAGTATTTTGGAAACCAAGGTTGGCACTAAAAAATACCAAATAGTCGATCACCTCAAGCAAGCGCTTCACCGGGAATGGGCAAAAATACCGCAGAACAACATTCGGGCAGCGTGTGACGTTGACATTGGCTGTTTGAAGGCCATAATTCGGGCCAAAGGTGACCAATTCGAACGAATCTAAACTTATTCTAAAATTTGATGCTATTTCCGACATTTTGTGCTTTCATTCAATAAAATTTAAAAAAAATTGTAAAAATTATGGCGTTTGATTTTGTTGCAGTTTTTTTATACCTTAACCCACTATTATATTCCGACTTAGTTGTTTTTACTTGGAATAAATTTTCCCATCTTTTATTAAAAAACAACATCAACACAATTTTTTCTCCTTTTTTATTTAGAAAAGATCGCCACCCAATTCTGCTTTAATTCCTTAACATAAAAACCATTCTCAATTAACCCATGCCGCTGGCTTGCCCTCTACCCGATAACCATTGTAGGCCATATTCGAGGCAGCGGCAGCTATTTCAGATCTCCGGCTGGGCTCCCCAGCCCAATAAGAGGGTGCCACCTCATATGTCTGCATCGGTTTATTGCTATTCCTAAAGGCCGAAATGATCAGCAAGAATATGGCCAATTTACCCACCAGCATTGACTTCATCAGCAGCAATTTTAGCTTCGTTACCAGAAATGGAACAATGGCCGATTGTATGAGGAACGGGAGTATAAAGAGAGGAAGAATGCGTGTCACCATTTCGTATTTTTTACCACGACCTAGAAAAGAGTGAAGCGCATAAATGGAAGATAATGACAAATTACGAATGTGGGAGGAACATTGCTCTGGTGAATTAAGAAAAATTATGGTGGCCTATGGAAATTACCTTCTTCGCTGCTATCGCTTAGCCAACGACCTGTTACCAGCTCTTTAAGACTTTCGCCATCGAGGTTAACACGAACTATGCTATTGTCTAAATCCAATGACATGTTAAGAGCTGGACCCACATTGTATTGCAGTTCAGGCGGGGGAGGGGAAGGAGGAACGGGGCTATGTTTACGATTGTGAAGGGGTAAATGTAGTTCTTTTTGGTTGGTTATGGGTTCATAGCTGAGATCAGATTCTTCTGTGACAACAGCCACATCATCCTCCCCCTCCCCATTTTGGGTTGGAATCGTGGTTAATTCTAGTTTTTTATCTTCCCCTCCCTCATCCAGGTCATCTGGGGCTTCGAATACAATTTCCTCATCGTCTTCATCCTCAGCATTCTTGGTCTCATCAGCAACCCCATCATCCCGTATCGATTCATTTTCCTCAAGTTTTTGTTGTTTTGTTTTCATTTTCTCCCTCAGATTTTGTTTGTACTCCGTCAGGGTCTTGTTACCCAAATAGGTGCTCTTGTAGTTCTTGTAGATTCCCATAAAAATACTTCTCAATGGCTTGGATTTCTTTTCCATTTCTTCTTCGGCGGTCAAACTTCGCCCTTCCGCTGATGATGGCGATGCCTGATCTTGGCCTTGCTTTGGTTCACTTGCATCACTTAATTTTAACTTCACCTCCCCATCCCCTGGCTGGGATAATGATGACCCATCATCCACCAGGATATCCGTCGCCTCATCTTCGGCACTTAAACTGGGATCGGTAGAACTAATTAAGACACAAATAACTAATAAACCGCTTACGAAACTCTTCATCTTGTCAACATAATTTTCTTCTGCTTTCCAAATTGGCCAAAAAAAAAACAAACACTGGGAACGTTCCGCGTACAGAGACCGTGAAAAACTCTTTATGCGACGTGCAACCACTTGAATGTCAACGGGGAAAATGCGTTCGACTTCATGTTTGCCATGGATTTTATTAACTTGGCAGCTGCTTGTCCTCCAGCTCCAGGTAGAGCATGGAGTGGCAAGCGCTTGCTGCTGTCACACATTTGTGGCCAGCATTCACTGTGGTGTTGCAGTTGCAATTTATCTGGTTTATTTTGTTCCCCTCACTCTCCCCCTTTGCTTCTTACAACAAGATGCGTTCTTGAATTTCCATTCGATTCAACGAACTTTTCTTTTTTCTCTCTCTCTCTCTCCCTCTCTCTCTCTTTCTCTCCCTGTCTCTCTCTGCATGGCATTGAAAGTCATTGCAACCGACCATCCAACTGATATCTTACAACTGGATAAAGCGCCTAGTTTTTCCTCTTCGTCTATTGGCCTACCTAGCTGCGTTGAATATTAACTTGTTGGCTCATTGGCATCAGGAGTCAAATGCGGACTTAAGAAACTACAACAAAAAAAACTGTCTTATTTGTGTAAGCTTTTGTTCCAGTTTTAACAGCAGCATCAACATTTAGCCTCCAACGAGCTGCTCTTTTGAGTTCATAGCTAAATTATTTTAGCAATAGCTGGGAAAAGTAAGAAAGCAAGTAAAAGAAGTCGTTTTCCATTATTAATCCTTTTATTCTAAGTGAGACTAGATTGGAACAGGTTGCACAATTTTTTCTAGCCGTCGGATTTTTTTTTTTTTTTTTTTTGTAATAATCGATTTGACTCTCGTATTGAGGCAGGTTTTTTATTTTCCATTTTTTTTTTCGAAACCAATTTCAAATTGACAATGGCCAGTTATAGAATCCAAACAATTTAGGTTAAATTGAATCAATGTTTTGTGGTCATCTTTTAAAAAGCTAGACTGGCTGAGCTAGGCCTTCTTAGCAAAACGGTGTTGAAATTTAAATCAAGGCGGATACAACGCCATAACATTGACCTGATCAGATTTTTATTTATAATTTTAGGAAATCAATAACAGATTTGTTCCGGAATTTTTCGAATTTCGTACTAAAAGGGTACGAAAAAAAAACAAGAAGGTACAAAATAGTACAAACTTGCCTTTTAACGATACATATACGTCATAACTTAGCATTTTTGTAGGGGGCTACTCTTTGAATACAGAGGTGAGATACGGTGGGATTTTCCGACCTACGTACTTCAAGAGTACGAACAGTTCTAAAAAGCCAAAATATTCAACTTTTTTGGTAAACGATCTTTGAGAACCAGGACTTTGAAAATGTCCCCTCTATCTTTAAACGATTAAGATAAGCGGATTTATTGGAAATTTGCATTTCAAGGTCATAAGTACTATAAAGCAATCGTGATGGCATGAGGGTCACTCTTGATGTTAAAAAGTAATTCAAAGCAATATTTGTTTATAGAAGAGGGATACAATGAGTACTTTAAGGATACAAAAAGTGGAAAAATTGCAAAGGGTACAAAATTGCAATCGATGAAACCAGAACTTCGGTGTTTGATATAGAAATTTGCGTTGCAGAGATACGAAAAGTAGTGAAAGGTTAGCTATAGCGAAAAGCTAGAAGTATGGTATGATGATCACTCTTGATAAACAGATCGATCCACTCCATCAAGTACCTCCCCCACATAGGGTCAAAATGTTTAATAATTATAACTATTATAAAATGTGATTCAAGAGTCCGTTTGACTTCAAATAACACACATTACAATATTTTTTTCAACCCAAGATCTGGTATGAAGATGAAATATATCCGTCTACTACTTCTGGTACCTCCCTCACAAAGGGTCAAGATTTGAAATATCCGAGAAGCTCATAAAAAGCGAAATTAACATACGGTTCCATTCAAACTTGGTACATCCCAATATTTTCATCAACACAAGATCTGTTATAAAGATAGTAGAGATCGGAATTTTTTCTTCTGTTACCTCTCCCACAAAGGGTCAAAGTTTAGAATAACCAAAACGATTATAAAATCCGAAATAAACATCTGGTTCTCTTTTCATTTCATTCATCACATTATTTTTATTAACCCAAGATGTGGTGTGAAGATGGAATATATCAGACCACTCCTTTTGGTACATCTCCAACAAAGGGTCAAGATTTTGAATAACCATGAAGCTCATAAAAAGCGAAATTAACATCCGGGTCAAGGGTCAACGCTTTGAATAACCCTTCATATTTCACTCATCCTATTACTTCTACTAAAACAAGATTTGCTATGAGGGTGGAATATATCCGTCTGGTGGAATATATCTTTCTGGTACCTCCCCCACAAAGGATTAACCCTTTGAGTACCCGTGAAGCTCATAAAACGCGAAATTAGCATCCGATTCCATTCAGACTTAGCACATCTCAATATTTCTATCAACACATGATCTGTTATAAAGATTGTAGAGATCGGACCATTTCTTCTTGTACCTCCCCACATAGGGTTCAAGATTTTGAAAAACAGAAAGATCAAAGAAAGCGAAATAATTGGATGCTCTCACTAATTTTATGAAAATTTTTTATAGAAATGAACCGACCGAAGGTGACCACCAGAACTCGAGCGTCGGCCATGGTTATGGTGTGGGCCGCCATGACAGCCGATGGTCGCTTTCCGCTCGTATTAATCGACCGTGGCTTCAGAATAAATGCCGAATATTATCGAGAAAATATTCTGGAGGGTGTACTAAAGTCTTGGGCACGCAAATATTTTGACCCCAGACCTTGGACATTCCAAGAGGACTCAGCACCATCGCGCTCAGCACGTGCCACCCAAGAATGCTTACAAAATTAGGTTCCTCGCTTCATTTCCAGCGCACAAAGGCCACCAAAATCTCCGGATACCAAATCCGTTGGACTATTGTGTCTGGAGTATTTTGGAAAGCAAGGTTGGCACTAAAAAATACCAAAGTGTCGATCACCTTAAGCAAGCGCTTCGCCGGGAATGGGCCAAAATGCCGCATAGCAACATTCGGGCAGTGTGTGACGGGTTCGTTGGCCGTTTGAAGGTCATAATTAGTGCCAAATCTAAACTTCTTCTAAAATTTGATGCTATTTCCGCCATTTTTTGCTTTGAAAAAAAAAATGTAAAAACTATGGTGTTTGACTTTGTTGCAGTATTTTTTATATGTATTGTATATGTAACTTTCGCACATTCTGTAAACAGTTATGTCAATGTTATTGCTCTGTCTGGTGGACATCTATAAAAATTTTTCGAAAGGCTAAAATTCCAACTGACTCGAATTTTTCTAGAGATATCTTGATAATTGATAAATCCCAGCATCACATCACATTGACCGACCCAAAGACATTCTTCACGCGACTAGCAAATCGAAATCCTTCTTTTCAAATGAAAAATCCTTTCAAGTCTCGCAGCAGTTAATGTTTAAGTGTTGCAATTAATTTCTTGCCGCCCATGGTCTATAATATTCAATTGATTCAATCGATTATTTTTTCATTATGTATTGATTGATCGCCACCCGACGAATTGTCACGGTCAACCTTACACAATACAAATGAACGTGGTGTTGTCACAACATTTCCCTTTTTATATTTAAATATTCATTCGAAATTTCTACTCAGAAAATGCCAGAGCCTATCGCACGTTGTCCAAAAAAAAAATATTCTCTAATTAAAAGTGAAAGTGAAAAGTAGTCGCTCAACCAATGAAGGCCTATGCGAGCATAAATGACCCTTTTCAGTGCATTTCAATACGAAGTTCAGTAATTTTGAATTCGGCAACAAAAAATAAGTTTAATACTTAATACCATATTCGAAATAAAGAAATTATGATGGCTATTTTGATTGGTGGCAGCTATAGTTAATGAAAAAAACAAAAAAACTAAGCTACCGAAACGGACAGACAGAGACAGTAAGTCGAATAAAGTAGATAAGCAAAAAAAAATGTTTAAGTTTCTTTGTATGAATGCGATTTTTTGTTGGGAACAGTGGGATAGGTCGTTGAATTTCGTAGAGATTTGAAAAAAAATTAAAAATAAAAAAAGTTGGAGGTGTTCACGGGTCTCTGGTGTAAAAATCAAAAGACTTAAGACACAAACTTGAAATATGAAGGCGAATAATATTAACCTGATATTAAACGGAAGCAAATAAAATAGTATAGATAATACCCCCAGCCTTGGGTTATGATTATTCAAACTGTTGACCCTTTATGGGGGAGGTTCGAAGCAGTTGGCCAATATTGAGCAATTCGTATCTGACCTAAGACTGATAAAAATACTACAACGTGCCAGATTTGGACTATATCGACCACTTCCTATACTTTATATGAGTTATGTGCAAATTTTTGGAAAATGTGGAAATATGCGTGAGGTACCAGATATAGCGGATGGAAGTATATTTATAAAGATACAAATATCATATATCATAAATTTCGATAAATTCTATGAATATGGAATTCAGATTTCTGGATAAGAAAAATATTTAGATATGACAGATAAAACTATTAACATTTGTGACCCTTTGTGGGTTAGGTACCAAAAGGGGTTCGCAGAATTATATTATCTTCACAACAGATCCTGTATTAGCAAAAATATTTGGATGTGTGAAATTTTAAAGGAGTTGGATGCTTATTTCTCCTTCTTTAAGCGCTTGCCTTCCAATAATCTTGAACCCTATATGGGGGAGGTACCAGAAGAAATGTCCGATCTCTACCATATTTATAACATATCTTGTGTTTATAGAAATATTGAAAATATTGAGTGATTTCCACAATTAAATTGAATTTCTGGTCATTGATTCTGGTCAATATATCCCAGTTATTTTATTTTTTATTTTAAAAATCTGTTTTCATTAGGAGACCATGTAGATCTTGAACATTCCAAATTATAATTTCCATTTTTCAAAAACCCATACCCCATTGCGCGCTAAACGACAATTATGATGAATAACATTAAATGAAAGTGAGTTAAACCAAAATAACGACCGCAATTTCCAAAACAAACAAACAAATAACCAAAACGTGGCTACCACATTCAACATTATTTCGGAACGAATGAACCTACCAACCGCCACCATAAGGAGCCAACTTATGACGTCAGACTAAGGTGCACACGACGGCCAAAGGCAAAGAATTGCGTAGCCGTTAATGAAGTCTAAATCAATGCGACGAACGACTGCTTCCGCCGTTACAAAACGATCGAGTGCCTGAAAAAGACGAAGAACAAATTAATCCACGTACAAATTATAAATTTATGACTTTTTGAACGCTTTTAATGAAATTTGTCGTGACCATAAAATTTTGTTGAGAGAAAATGTATTTTTTGAGCTGGTTTTGTTTGAGGGGTTGGTTCTAATTTTGGGGTTGCTAACGACAAAATGAATTAGCAAATAATGTTGACATAGATGTAAGTGTGATGTAAACAGTCTTTGTGATAAATTAAATACAGATACAACAAATATATAAATTTACATTTTGGGAACAAATCTATAGAATTTTTTTTTATTAATGATTTTTTCAAAGTAAATGAAATAAAGTTTATTTTAAGGATAAATTATTTTAACATTTTGTTTATTATTTTAGAGACACCAAATTTAAACCTGATCTAACCCCATCGGTCATTGTTATAGCAAATTCACAACTATAACTTCATTCGCTCACCCAAGTCCAGTGATATATACTATACTAAGTACCTCTTCAAACGTTTTGTACAATTATTGCACTAATTTAAAAACACTTTTGTCTTAATCAACACCAACAGTGCCAAATCTAAGTATTTCAGCTTTATCCACTTAACCTCACGCATTTTAAGGATTTTTTTAAACAATTAGATGCTGTGAATTTCCAAAATTACCTTCTAACCTATACCCCCAGTGATACCTACATAGCATTTGTATCAAATGTAGTTTCATTTAGTATTTTCGTATAAATACTTTTTTCAAAAACGTCTTCTTATCTCAACCCAGATTCGCAACGGCGGATCTAATTCAAAATTTTAAAATTCCACTTCTGGCCGTTTCAAGACCAATGATACCAAATTTAGTATAAAATCTAAATTATACATTTCAAATATTTTTAATAACGGAACTAGTGGTACCAAATGTACATCACAGTAAACTCTACTCTTACAAGAGCTCTTTCAATCCACCGTATTTCAAATTATACCAAATTATTCCTTTTCGTCACAAACAGTTCGAATTCCCAAAGACTAACAATAATTTATATACCAAGATCCTAAATTTATTCGTTCTCCAACTTCATTGATAATAGATTAGTTTAGAGTCAAAAAGAATGTCAAAAATCGCCATCCATGGAATTTTAGTACGATTTTCCAAAAACTCTTTGCTTATACGTCTCTTTGCTTATGGGCGTCATCGTCGAGCCTCATATCAAATTATATAGTCATCTATTGATTATCAATGGTACTATATTAAGTACCTTGTAATAATTTCGTGCACTTTTGGCACAAAATGTCCAAGATAAATTGTCGTACATACCATAAAAAAAATTTCATTACTTGAAGTTCGGTATGAGAACCAAGTTTAGAAAGAATTATTTAGGCAGGCAAGTAGTTTTGGAAATGTTTACTAAGTGTAAGAACTGTACTAAATTTGGAACAGATAGGTTAGGGTGAACGGATGAAGCTGGATCTTTGAAGATTTGATATTGAGATCCCTGGTTTTAGAAAAGTACACGAAAAGCACTAAATAGTTCTCATTTGTTACAATTTTGTATTGGATGATTCAGATAGCACTTGAAATCTGAAATTTTTTACAAGTGTCGCTGTTCATGTGTAGCCTGGACATATGGAGATCGTTTCGGAAATGTGTACTAAGAATGTATGAAAAGTACTTAATTGTACTAAATTAGGTCTTGGTTGATCTAATAGAGATACAATTCTGAAATTGGATATTATTGTAATTGGAAATTGGACGGTGTTTGGAAATGCGTCCTATATTTGTACGAAAAGTACTAATGTTACTATATTTGGTATTAGGTAGAGGTATGGGGCTAAGATCCTCAAATTTGATATTGAGGTGGAATTGATGGAGGTGGTTTTAAAAATGTTTACTATGATTGTACGAAAAGTACTAAATGGTACCAAATGTGGTATTAGTTGAAAGAATAGAGCTGAAATCCTGATTTTTTATAGATGTCATTACCAGTATTTGTTGCTTGGTTTTGGAAATGTGTACCATAATTCTTTAAAAAGTACTAAACAGTACTACATTTGGTACAATTTGGTATTGAGTGAACATATAGTAATTGAAATCAAAAATTTGCTATTAGGGTTGCTTTTCATGTGTAGTCTGGACATAAAGGTAGTTTCGGAAATATGTACTATAATTGTACGAAAAGTACTGAGTGGTACTATATGTGGCATTGGGTGGAGTGATAGATATAAAACTCTAAAATTTGATATTTAGATTAGGGATGGTATCTGTGATTAAGAATTGACGGTGGAAAATCGATCCTATATTTGTACGGAATGTACTAAATTGTACTACATTTGGTATTGAGTGAAGAAATGAAGCTGAAATCCTGAAATTTGATATAGTTGTCACAATCAGTGTCTTTCGCTAAACTATGCAGATACTGAAATTTGTTGTTAGAAATTTGTTGTTAGAGTCGCTGTTTATGTGTAGTCATTAGGGTAGTTCGGAAATGTGTCTATAATTATACTAAAAGTACGGAATGGTACTATCTTTGATATTGGGTGAAGGAATAAAACTGAAATCCTGAAATTTTTTGTAGATGGGACTGTTGGTGTTTGTTGTTAATATACGGAAGTGGTTTTTGGAAATGTATACTATAATTGTCCGATAAGTACTAAATAGTACTTAATTTGGTATTGGGTGAAGAAAATTATTTATAACATCATGGTCTGAATCTGGGAAATTTCAAGTAGAGATGGTGGAAAATATTTTATGTCCCTGTGAAACTATTTTAAGTAAAACTATTTTATGTCCCTTTGACCCCGACGACTTTAAGATAGAACTTTGTTAGTCCTGTTTATAGGAGAAACCCATCTTTTACAAATTTTCAATATTGGTACTGGTTAGGACACATTGACCAAACCAAATAATCACAGATATTAGGTATTTCGAGCTACATTTTAAGTCGTCATTGGATGTAAATTTTGCAACATTTTGACTAAAACCGGATATTCCTTAAAACACGGTTCCCAAAGATCATTGAAATGAGATATTTTCCCAAAAAAAAAAATTAAAAATAAAGAGAAAAGTACTTAAAACGGCTAAATGGTAACTTGTGTACCTTTAGAGACCAGCAAAGTACAAATGGACCAAAAAAGTCCAGTACAACATTAAATAGTTTCGTATTATCAAACCTCTCACGTACTCTCACAAATCTGGTGCAACTACGACAAAAAAAAAACATTCTTTGTTGTCACCAATGGCCATTTCGTTTCAATTTCAAACGCGAACTGCGATGACAAAATCAATTTGCCAAAATAAGGAAATAGCCATCGAACAAACAATGGAATGCAAACAACTCTTTATTTTTCATATTTGTGTGTGTATGTGTGTCTGCATTCTCATTGAACTTGGTGGTCATGTCAAAGTGAATCTAATTTATGCCGCAATTATGGCCCAAACACATATTGCCTGGCTTCGCACAAAAGAAATTTTCAATTACCTTAAAAAGAATCTTCGAACCGAACTTGTGTTCGGTTGTGTTCGCCACAAACCAAAATCAAAATAGAGCTACAATTTTTTTTGGTCAATTTCAATCTAATCCAGCAACGAAACATTTGCATGTACTCATGTTCGATTGCCACCGATTGACCATAAATGTCGAATGGACGACGAGAGTTATGCTTCTTGTCGTGGGCCATTAGCATTTCTCCCGCTGCCGTTAAGGGCAAGTGTGGCGTGTGTGTGGGTGTGTGGGTGGGTGTGTGCGCCCAAAGAAATTGACAATAAAAAGCAACGGCAATGTCAAATCATCATTCACTTCTTCAGTGTCATCCAATCATCGACAACAGCTCGACCGCAGTTCAGTTTTTGTGGATTAACCCGATTTTCAAGGATTATCTTCGATCAAACTCAACAACAACCAAAAAAACAAAATAAAAATGGCCGCCCAACAAAAAGTCATCTGCTCCTTGTTGATTGCTTGCTTCCTCTTCAACGCTGTCTTGTGCGACACAATCCCCAGCGATGAGACACCTGAAGGAGATGTTGCTGGTAAGTGTTTCTTGAATCCAAAATTTTTTCCAAACATTTCGGTTCTAATCAGTTTTTCTCCTCCCCTTGCAGAGGGTCGCACCTTTGGCCATCACTTCCTGAAACGCATGAGCTTTGCTGTGGTGCCCGGTGCCTTTGTTGTGGGTGTCATCACCACCCTTTTGGCTGCCTTGACCGTCGTCTCCATGAAGGGTTTGGGTGTCGGTGTCATCTTGTTGGTCTTGGCCATCGGTCAAATGTTGTCTCGTGCCATTCCCACCGTCCAAGCTGCTGCCTACCATGCCCCCGCTCCCGTACCCGTAGTCTACTCTCACAGTCACACCCAACAACCCGTCTGGTTGGAAAAGGAATGGTAAACAAACATATGACGACCGTCTCCCTCCTCAAATATCCCCACGATCCCACAAGTTTTGGATACCTCGTTTAGTCGCAGAGCAATTGTACTTTGAATCACCCCCTCCTCCCTAGCCCAGAATGTGTGGGATTGGGTCTTTAGATGGTGCAATTGTTGCTGTTGTAAATGTGCACGCTACCAAAAACTAATTTTAAGTTTTAGTTTATTTTATTTTAGTTATTTATTTATTTATTAAATTATTTATTTTTATTTATTTATAAAAAAAAAAATGAAAAAACTCCAAAAAAATCACGAAATTTTTGTTGGTTATCCATCAACAAAAGAAATGCAATAAAATTCGATATTTATTTATTTTCAAAACCAAAAAAAAACGAAATCAAAATTTCACTTTCCATAGAAGTCAGCTCCCACCATTCCCCCTCTTTTGACACCAACACCCATCGCCCAACCTCATTAAAATTCAGAACATTCTCCTATAAATGTATAATCGTGTCTACGCGATTCCATTTGCTACGTGAGTAAATTTCTCAAGCCAAAACCAATTCGACGACATGGTCAATGGACAGTTTTTCGTTTCTTGTGCAGACAACAAACTATTGGTTGTACCCGTCTGTTCATCGAGCCGTCAATCCATCTGGTCGTGTGATATGTGTTAATGGCCAGAATGTAACGTTCACAACAAGACCACCACCATTCCCAAAACATATTAATGGCTTTGTTAGTGTCGTCTGTGTTCATACTTTTTATGGAGTGTCCTATATCTATATCGTCTACAAAGGGAAGTTACCCCAAGCGGAGAAAGTAAACACAATAGTTTTTTTTTTTTTTTGAAGTTCCCAAAAATAATTTATGTTTGGCATGACCTACGTCACTTCATGAGAAGACGAATTTTTCAAAATAGTTTTTGACACAAAAAAAAATTAGTACGTCAACTTAATCGTCTCTTTATAGAAAAGAATGGATTGATGAGTGGGTGACCGATTCATCAACGCCCAGGTGGAAGGCAGAATCTTGAAATGTTGTATATTAGGGTGTATAAGGCTGGGTTTTTGGAAATTCTAAATTTAAGTTCACTAAAAGATAAAAAATTGGATTCATTATATTAGTATAACGGATAGAGCTAAAATTCTGAAATTTAGAATATGAATCGATTATGAGTTGTAGGACAGATATACAAAAGGTTTATTGGAACTTCGAGCTATAAGCATACTAAAAGCATTATATTTGGTATCATTTGCTCTATAAATATAAGAATTAAGTTGGATTCGTAGGATTGATGTATGGAGGGGGTTTTGGAAATGTGTACTAAGTATTTGAATTGTACTAAATGGTACAAATTTTGATATAATTTGGGTTTGGCCGAATGGATGGAGCTGGAATTTCGAAATGTTAATATTGGGGTCACTTTCAGTGGGTTGGGTTGGGATTGGGACATTTTTGGAATATATACGAAAAAAGTCCTAAATGATACTTAATGCTGGTATACAAGTAAATAATAGAGTTGAAAACCTGAAATTTGGTTTGAAGTATGGAGGTGGATGTGGAAATGTGTACTTAAAAGTACGAAAAATACAAAAAGGTATTTAATTTAAAATTTAATTTGGGAAAGGTAGAGCTAAAAATCTGTAATGTGGATTTAGGGTCGCTGATGGAGTATTTGATAAATATACTATAGAAAATTTCGAACTTACAAAAAGCAAAGTACCAAAAATACTAAACTTCAACAAATTTAGTACTATTTGTAATTATATAGGTTGAGATAAAAAAAAAAAAAACTGCAACAAAGTCATACGCCATAATTTTTACATTTATTTTAATCTTTAATCCAAGGTCTGCGGCTAAAATGTTTGAGTGCCCAAGGCATTAATACACTCTCCAGAATATTTTCACGATAATTTTCGGCATTTTTCTGATTCCACGGTCGATTAATACTAGCGGAGAGCGACCATAGGCTGTTATGACGGCCTACGCCATCACCATTGCCGGCGCTTGCAACCGAAGTTGACATTTTCAGCTGACCTCTTTGGCAATTAAACATGATCATTTTGTTTGTTTACAAACTGCAGGACAACGAATGTTTTTTCCTCGGAGAAAAGCAAATTCGGCAGTTCACCACTTTCGACCAAGCGAAGGAACTCTTGAGCTCTTTTGAGTCTATTTTCTTTGTTTTGTTCTTGTTGTTGTTCTTGCTCTTTTTGGAATTTCAACGGCTTTACCCCGAGCTCATTTTTCCATATTTGCCGAATGGCCGAAACGGCCACTGCGACGCGGGTTTCGATTAAGTCGCTTCTTTAATTTTCGACCCATTTCTGCTGATGTTGCTGTTTTCTTCCGTCCACTTCCTTGACGTCGAGCTACGCTACCAGTATCATGGTAACGAGCGATGATACGAGACACAAAAGATTTATCCACATTTAAATGCTGGAGTGCTCTATCGATAGCCACTTGTGGTTTTCCAGCCAAATATAAAGAAATCACACTATCACGCTTGAATTCCATCACGATTAACTTTTTTTCTGGAGAATTCTCAACAAAATGCATTTGTACGTTTGTAAACAATATAATGAGCTACCACTGGAATAATTTTAACATCTGTCGGGCGAGTGGCTAAGAAATAACAGCAGTCTGAAGTTGTTTGCAGTTTTTTTATATCACCCTGTAGATTTAGTACCGAATAGAGGTATAATCTTGAAATGGTTTGGGAATCAATTCTTGGAAATGGGGTTGATTTCAGGAGGTGGTTTTGAACTGGAATAGAGCTTAAATCCTAAAATTTATTTGGAAGTCACTGCTGGTTTCTATAGTTAAGATGTAGAGGTAGTTTCGGAAAAGTGTACTATTATTGTAAGAAAAGTACTAAGTTGTACTAAATTGGGTGGAAGGATAGTGTCGAAACCGTGAAATGTTATATTGCGATATCTATTGGTGTCTAGCATTAAGATATGGTGGTAGTTTTGGAAATGTGTACTATGGCTATACGAAAAGTACTAAGTGGTACTAAATTGGGTCTTGGGTGAAACCGTGAAATTTTATATTGCAATAACTGTTGGTGTCTCGGATTGAGATATGCAACGATTTTGCAAATGAGTGCTAAAATTATAGAAAAAGCACCAAATATTACTAAATTTGGGAGCCCCTATATAACGGTACTTCCCGATATTCGGTATTTTGAAAGGTTTAGCCGCATATTTCCATCAATTTGTCTAAAAATTGGTAATTGCAGTTCGTTATGGGTTCTAGCTCTAGCGGCGGAACATTATACATAGAGGTGCACGTTTTCGTGTAGCTCCCGTATAACAGTTCCTCCCGATATTCGGTATTTTGATGGTATTAGCCAGGCGGAACATTGTATATATAGGTCGACATTTTCGTATGGCCCATATATAACGGTACATCCCGATATTCGGTATTTTGAAGATTTTTGCCAATTTTTTTTAAGGAATGAGTCTAGAAATTGGTATTTGTAGTTCATAATGGGCTCTAGCTCCAGCGGCGAAACATTATATGTGTATGTACACGTTTTTGTATAGCCCCCATATAACTTTACCTCCCGATATTCGGTATTTTGATGGTTTTAGCCACATATTTTAACGGATTTGTCTAAAAATTGGTACTTGTAGTTCGTTATTGGTTCTAGCTCCGGTGGCGGAACATTGTACATATAGTATGACAGTACCTCCCAATATTCGTTATTTTGATGAATTTTACCCACATTTTTCCATGGATTTGTCTAAAAAATGGGATTTGTTGTTGGTAATGTGTTTCAGCTTCGGTGACAGAACATTGGTTATACAGGTCCACGTTTTCGGTATTTTGACGATTTAAATCACATTTTCTAATAGATTACAATCTAATAGATTTGTATATATCGGCTCCCGTTTAATATACCGATCCTACTGGAGTTTGTAGCTTAAAGTGGGACACGATTGAATCCAGATACTTTTGCATAAAAATGTTTTCATTACGCAATGGTGGATGGTATTAGAAGTTCGGCCCGACCGAACTTAATGACTTTTTACTTGTTGTTAATATATTTAGTAAGATATTATAATGATTTTGGAAAACTTTACATTTTTAAAACGGAAATTAAGATATTATAAACAAATTCTTAAAACTGTATTCGTTTTTTTCTCATCTTTTGATATAACGAATTAAATTTTTTAGGACTTGTAAATGTTTGATCAAACTTATTGTAAATAGAGCTATGAAGATGTTATAACCTACATATATTTGTGGTAAATTAAAAAAAAAAATTGATACTATTGTTTCAGAACTGCAAGAATGTACAAAATTTTATTTCCATAACCGATTTACCCTTAATTATATCGAAAAAATATTGAAAAACCTGTAAAGTCTTGCAGGTTTTGGAATAGATCCTATAATTCCATTTTAGACCCATAATTAATATACTATATTGCTCCATAAACAATGCTTCAAAATGGCAGCACTTTATTGGTATTATTCTCTCCTTGCTATGACTTGCTAATTGATTTTCGATTTCTTATTTCAACCTGACTAGTTATTCTTTGTTGCTTAAACAGTTGTATCCACACACGTTGTCATCGATCAATTAATATTGTCTATCGGATTTTTTTTTTCTTCACAAAACAAAAAGGAAAAGTCAAGAGGCGGGCGGGGCCGACTATAGAATTTATTTTAAGTAGATAATACCAACACTTGGCTTTAGAGCAGTTATAGTTTGGTTTCAGAACTAATATATGGGAGGCAGATCCAATTCTGAATCGATTTTCCCTAAATTTAACGGAGACCTTTTTATCTTTTATACATTGCTATAGAGTGCATGATATCACTTCGCGAATGATTATATTAAAAAAATATATATCGGAGCCGAGTTCCACAAAATGGAATTCACTCCATTTGGGATGATATTAGCCATTATTTGCACAATAAACCCGAAATCGGATTAAGGATATTTGGGAGCTATATCCAAATCTTGGCCGATCTCGATTAAATTTGGCAAAGGTATTTCCGAGGTCTATAAGATATCTGGTACCAAATATCATTGTTGTCGAATGCATATTTCAAATGTGAGGGACTTAAATACCAAATCGGATAAAACATATATGGGAGCTATAGCTATATCTAAACCTTGGACATACGCGCCACCCAAGAATGGTTACAAAATAAGCTTCCTCGCTTCATTTCCAGCGCACAATGGCCACCAAAATTTCAGGATACCAATCCGTTGGACTATTGTGTCTGGAGTAGTTTGGAAAGCAGGTTTCCACTAAGAAATACTACAGTGTCGAACGCAGAGCAACATTCGGACAGCGTGTGACGGTTTCATTGGCCGTTTGAAGGCTATAATTCGTGCCAAAGTTGACCAATCTAAACTCATT